ATGACGAGAGTTCAACTCTGTTCGGTCGGTGCCTGCCGACCTCATTACCTAGCTCCTGCTATTTCTGTCTGAGCGAGAAGATGTTCTAATTTCTGACTATGAACTCTCATTGTCAATACACACTGTTGTTTTCTTTGAAAAGAGCATTGTAACTTCGTTTTTGTATATACACTCTCGATAAACACCAGTGAATCAGGATTTATCCACTTCTTGAACAAGACGGTGGCTTCTTGTGCGAAATAATCTTTTATTTAACTCTGAAGTTTCTGCTTCAAGCAAAGAAGCCGGCATCAGCGATTTCCACAAGCACATTTATGCTATTTGTTGTACCATGCACTGCCAGTGATAAATTATAACGGAACGACATTTTGATTAACGACCTCTTATGCGGCTCGAAGCTAGCGGAATGGTCCACCTTAGGGGGGGGGTGGGGGCGGGGTTGCGATGCTATGCAACTACACTGTGTAACTCCAGAGAAATGAGAGGAGAACGTTTTGTAAACTATTTTCCTATTGATGGCTTCACTGTCTGAAATAAGTGAAAGTTCATTTCATGCTGAAGGCCACTGTGTTATTGAAGGGGAGGACATGGTCTCCATATTTCTTTTCTGTACTTCTCCTGAAGAAACGCTGGCACCGATAAAACCTGAATTCAACAGCTCACCTTTAACTGGATCTTTAGGAAGAACAAATCATGTCTAATCAGAGCTAGACAAATCCATTTGCATTTATGCAGAGACTCATTCGTGACAACAGTTCGAATACTGATTAGTAAGGAAAGTCAAACGGTTAGAAGTCGCCATACGAAAAACCACCCACATAACCGAAAGGTGTTCCCGGGGCTGTCTAAAGTTTAAATTATGTAACAAATTTCTGTTCGTAATTTCCGTCTCACATTTTTGCTTAAGAAATAAATTAATCCCAATTAGTAATTAATAAGTAATTTGGTTAATTGGTAAACACTGCCAAATGGCTAAATCGGGATATCAGGTACTCCTAAAAATTTGTTCGCCTATGTGCAGTGACCACCCAGTTGATTGCATAGAAAAAACGATTAAACGCTTTTCCCAAGTGTCGGCCTCTAGCGTTGCTGAAACGCACATCTGATAGGTGTGCTGTCGGCGATGAGTTCATAGCTGCCGAGCGGGTGAGTGACGAGAGTCCTTGACACGCATGTGTTCCGCTCCGGCAACACGCTTCCGGCAGTCGGCAGCATGACTATTCGATCGGCAACGGAAGTGCGTACGGCGGAGGATAAGGCAGATTATGTTTATATTTCGCACGCATTCTGCGAGATGATCACGTGGGCCACCAGCAGCAGCGATTCTGAGGCGGAGGAGGAGGAAGAGGAAGTAAAGGAGGAGGTGTCGTCGTCCAACGAAGAGCTGCTGCGTTCGCCGCATGCAAGAGTGTGAGCATGGCTCGACGAGCGAGCAGCGGCGGAGGTGGCGGCAGAGGTAACTTTGGAAAAAGCAACGTCAGGAACAGCTCTTCTCAGGTGTCCTCGTCCATCAGATCCCTGCCGAAATGGCTGGGTTCCAAAATCTACGGGGACATTTACAGTTCCTACGAGCTGCCCGGCACAAAGATATACAGGACAGATGAGGTAAGTGCTTCCGCCGCTTCTTTGCACCTCTTGCTCCCCCCCCCAGCCCCCAGTATAAAAGTT